GGTTTTCCATTCTGTTGCACAAAATGAAGTTGTATTTTGATCACCAGGTGAATCCCAGCTTCTAACCAGTTTTGATCCAGAATACTCAACTGATCATAGCATTTCTTCTTAATTAATCAAGGATGAAATGAAGCAGAAGGTAGTCGTGGATAACCCCAAATCAGAGGTTTAAACAACCATAAAAACAGAAACAAAACAGCAACAGATACTCAAAACATGTACAAAAAGGACTTTATATAAACGTAACAGTTAATTGTATCCAGTCTTTAGGAATACATTGGCCCTTTTCAGACATAAAAATAATAATGGTAAACATTTATTGAACACTTCCTATGCTAAGTTTGGTACATGTTATTCTCGTTTAATCCTCACAAAAACCGTTGAGGTGGGTACTATTGTTTAGTCCTATTTTATGGATGAGAAAACTATCTCGAAGAGGTGGTGCCACTTGGCAAAGGTCACAGAGCTTATATGATCCCAAGCCAGAATTCAAACTAAGCATTCAGGCTTTAAAGCCATTCCCTTACACACTGCATTATCCTGAGTTATTCATCAACAGGGTAAAAATGATACATATATGTGTAAATGTTTGGAATTAGAAAACTACCAAGTGGCTGTCATGCTCTATGTCTTAGATGACCTTTTCTTCAGTAACTCAGCTGAGACACATCCCCACCTGTGTGCTCCCACACTACCTGATTCCTCATCCCTGACCCTGCAGGATTCGCCTCCACAGCCACTTTGAAACTCCCTGGCTTCCCCTTTCTCCCAGCCCTGCTTCCCCATTCTGAGAGGCTGCTGGCAGAGTGGGAGGGCACTGCTCCCTGCAGGCTTGCTCCTCTGATTGGTGGGAGTGGTATGGGTCAGTCCTCCCAGGTAGGTAATTTAGTGTTAAAGCAATAAATGCCTTCTGCTAATGAAATGTTTTCCTGATCCATAGCAAATTACTTTTTAAAAAAACAAATTCAAGGTCTAGTATTTATTTTAACCTTGCTAATCGACAGTTGGCTATGAGTTGTTTTCTTGGGAGACAAGCTGTTCACAAGGCTGGCCTAACCCTGATTACTCTCTTTGGGAGGTTTCAAGTCATAAATCCTTTGTACTCTTTGTACCGATTATGCTGAAGGACATTATGGTTTTATATTTTTGCAGTTGCAGGTCTCTTAACTGTTCAATCCATCATTTTTGTCATTAGTTTGTTACCTTAATAGCTTATAGACACACCTCTTCATTTTCTCTTAAGGCTTCCTTTCCACTTAACTGGCTACAGAGGAGTAACAGTATTCCTTAGGATCAGCAGCACTCAAGTTATTAGAATCACCTCTATACTTACTTGAACCATGTCTTAAGCATTTTTTTTAACATGGGTACCTAAAAGAAGTGTCTGGCACATAACAGATGCACAAGAAATGTCTGTTATTCGTGGATTTGTTCAACATTTCTTTCTTTTTTTCCAATTCTTGTTCTAATCTTTTGATGGCAATAACATTAATAGTACTTTGAAATAACACCAGTTCACTGTTGGTGATCATTATAGGCTTATGTTATTTCTTCCTCGGCTTTAGAGGTCAGAGTAAGAGCTCTACAGATCACTTGGTGGCTGTATTTAAAACTGATTCTGTTGTAGTCCATAATAAATCTCTCGACTTCAGAAAGAAAAAGGGAAAAGATACTTTAAGAACATAGTTTCAATTAAACGTAGAGTTAGGGAGGTGCTGCTTTGTTCTTAGGTTCTCCTCTCTCTCACTTTCTTTTGGACAGCTTTATTGAGGTATGACTGACATACAGTAAACTGTACACATTTAAAGTATATACTTTGATAAATTTTGGTATATGCCCTGAAACAATCACCACAATCAAGATGGTAAACATACCCGTCACCCCCAAAGTTTTTTCCTGTCCCTTGGTAATCCCTCTCTCCTGCCCTTCTATCTGCCCATCCCTTGGGTAACCACTGATATGTTTTCAGTCACTGTGCATAAATTTGCATTTTCTAGAGTATTATTATATAAATGGAGTTTTATGTATTTTTTGTCTGGCTTGTTTCATTCAGCATAATTATTTTGAGATTCATCCATGTTATTGCATAGTCATTCTTAATTTGCTGAGTAGTGCTCTACTGCAAATATATTGGATATGAAATTTATTTATCCAGCTCTATCATTTGCTAGCATTGTGACCTTGAACAACTTGCTCTTTATAAGCCTTAGTTTCCTAATTTATAAAGGGGGGATACTATCACATCATGGGATCATTGTGAATTAATTATATAAAACTCATAGTAAAATGCCAGGCACATGGTAGGAGATCAATAGATAACAACTGCTATTGTTGGACATTTAACTCAGTGTTTGTAGACTTAATAGACCTTGAAACTCCCTTTTCACTGAATGCCTTGTAATATCCTGGTGCCATGGTCATTTACTCTGACACGTGATAATTAGGTCATTAAATATGAAATGTCCAATTTTGACTAAAAAATTTAGCTTATTATAGCTCAAGCAAGAAGCAGTAGAATTAATTAAAGTATGCGCCTAAACCATCGACACAGTTTCACCATCTTAATGGTAGCTTGTTTATGCCAGCAGTGAAAAAGCCTGGAGAGCGAGTGGCGAGGAAATTGCGAAAGGTGTTTCCCACAGCTTGTGGAGAATTGGATATTTTTCCTTGCAAGACGTGGTCCAAAGCCTGGAAGAAGTGGTAGTCAGTTGGTGCAAGGTCTGGTGAATATGGTGGATGACAGAGAGTTCCCAGGTCCAGCCTCTGTAGTGTTGAGCAGTGTTGTTTGTGCAACATGTGGTCGAGCGTTGTCGTGCAAGAGG